TGAATGAATGAATGAATGAATGAAAAAATAAAAAAAATAAATGAATAAATAAAGGATGTCTGTGTGAGGGTGAGTCTTTGTGTCTCTCTGAGAGTACTTTTTGATAGAGGCGGCTCACGCGTGACTTAATTGATATCGTCTTCATTTTCTTTCACGTCCAGTGATATTTTAGTACGGTAGGTTTTCTACCGTGACATTTGGTTTCGTGCGTGTGTTCGAGTGTACTTTCTGAAAACTATAACCCCAAAATACTTTTTCAAAAGTATTTTACAATAACTGTGATGTGAAAATGAATCTTGTCTTTGATAACTTTGTCAAAGCTTACCATAGCTAATGCAGAGATAGTCACAGCTATTCTGAAAGAGGGCGCTGTTTTCCCACCAAACCTCTCACAATAAGTATAAAAAATATGATGTGGACCCCTTTAGAATTCAAACCCTAAAATTTCCTTCTATGTGCTAAAATGAGCTCTGTGTTAATAATAGATTCTTTGATTTTAAAGCACCCGGGTTTTTTAATAGCTACTTTTATACCTTCATCATGCAGAGCAAAGTACGAGTATTTGTGAAAAGATTATTTTCTTGCTACGTTGATTCACCGAGCTTTTATGACTGCTGGCTGTTTATTGAACTTATCGAATCTTTCTCCCATGCTGACGAGAATAGATTAAATGTCTCAAGGAGAAGGTCTATTAATCTTCCCCAACCTCAAGTGGCAGTGAGACAAATCTTTATTTATTGCACTCAAATCGCATGTAGACGGATTTGGTTCGGAACATCGGTACGGTGTGCACGGGTTCTGTTGTTTTTCAACTTAATTGCATACTTCAAAGTGTGTTAACAAGTGGCTGGCGGGTGTTCTGGTGTAGTTTGCTCATTCTGTCCTATAAAACATCTATCGTTCTGAATTCTCCTCCTTTTCGTGTTTGTTACTCTCTTGTAACAATGGAAAATCACTTTTCTTCGACACCTATATGGCATTATTGTGTTGCAAATGCCATACAACTATAACTAACACAAAAAGTGTGTTACCCGTATAGCCTGCAACGTGTCGTGTTACAATTACTATTGTCTTGGAGAGCGAACTTATCGTTATTGATAATAGAATTATACTCTTTGGCTTGATGACGAAGTTGGCAACCATTGTTTATAGACACGTGCCCGTTATCGCACTCCCACTCCCCAACTTTTTACGAGACCTTCTCCACACATGTGGATGCCGTCCGAGCATCTGTTACTTCTCTGCATGGCGAGGTGACCGATAATGATCGATGGCTTTATTATAGGCGAACTCCGGGTTGCAAATTACGAATTGTGAAATCATAGTGGGCCTAAAGACTCGACCATCACACTTTCGTCTGTAGTAGGTAGTGAACACCGTTGCTTGTGTCCGTTTGTCGTTTTACAAACAGCTTGTTCTGCTCTGTATGCAGAAGTTGACAATTTTTACATTTGACCTCCCTACTTTGTTCCCTTATTTGATATCGTCCACTTCAGTTGTGGTTAGGGCTTTATGGCTTTAGGGTGGAACTGGG